TTTTATCCTTATCTCTCCCCGTCTGTTTTAGGGGGTCTTCTTGTTTTTTTTTTTTTTTTGTTTTTTTTTTTTGTTTTTTTTTTTTTTGCGGGGGAGGGGGAGGGGGAGGGTTCCTTTGGGATATCAATTATTTTTGTCGTTGATGCGTTTTGTTTTGTTTTTTTGTTTTTGTTTTTGTTTTTGCTTCTTTTTTTGCTTTTCTGTCTTGGGCTCTTTTATATGCTCCCCCCTCACACTCACACACACACACACACAGTTGAATGGTTGCTTTTTGTGTGTATGTTTGCTTCTTTTTCTTTTTTTTTTTTTAATATTCCTTATACCTGAGGAGATGTGAAGTGGGAGGGGATCCTCTTCACCCCCCTAACCCCCCGCTGGTCATTCTCAGCAACTTGTCTCTTTCCTTTTTTTTTTTTTTTTTTTTTTTTTTTTTGGGTTTGCCCTTTTTTCTCTTGCTGTTCTTTTATTTTGGTGTTTTAACCACAAATGCCCGCATGTATGCGCAGTACCAAATAAATATTTATGCATTTTTTGTTGTTTTGTTTGGAGGGGGGCCCGTGTGAAAGTTGGAGGTGATGTGTCTATTTGTCTCCTGCTCTCTAAGCCTGTTGGATTTGTTTTTGTTTTTGTTGGTGTTGTTGTGTGTGTGAGTGGGCCTGAATGAGTTCTCCTTTTTTTTCTTTTATGATCCTTTTGTTTTGTGTGTGTGTGTGTGTGTGCAGGAGTTTATTGCCAATTAATTAATTATTATTATTATTGTTTTTTGTTCCTCCACGCACAATTGAGGCAGGCGCGGCGCGGCACCACACACATATACGCGATAGGGACGAATTTATAAATCAGCGGAGATAAAAGAGAAGAAGGAAAAGGAAAAGGAGTAAAAAGAAAAAAATGTCGACAGCACGTCGTGATAAATTGTTGTGCCTTGAGGCTGCCGCGCAGGAGCGGTGGGCGCAAGAGAAGTTACATGAGCAGAACGCCCCGCTGAAGGGCGAGCCAGTTCCCAGCAAGTTTTTTGTCACCTTCCCGTACCCGTACATGAACGGGCGTCTGCATCTCGGCCATGCGTTTTCTCTCACAAAGTGTGAATTCGCATCACGCTTTTGGCGAATGAAGGGGCTTCGCTCGCTCTGGCCATTTGGACTGCATGTCACCGGAACCCCCATTGCCGCCTGTGCGCAGAAAATTCAGAAGGAAATGCAGCTGTACGGAAACCCGCCACAATTCCCAGAGGAGATGTTGGGGACTCCGTCAGAGGAGAAGAAAGACGACATTGCCACCATTGGACAGCACAAAAGTAAGCGTGGCAAAGCTGCTCCCGCCAAGCCACAGTGGATTATTATGCGAAGTATGGGTATCCCTGATAATGAGATTGCAAAATTTGCGGATCCACTTTATTGGCTTGATTACTTTCCTCCCCTTGCCGTGGAGGACCTAAAACGGTTTGGCTGCCACATTGACTTTCGTCGTTCTTTTATAACCACGGATCGCAACCCATACTATGACCGCTTTGTTTCATGGCAGTTCCGGCACTTGAGGCGGGCGAATGTACTTGGGTTTGGTAAACGATACTGCGTTTACTCCCCATGGGACGGCCAACCCTGCGCGGATCATGACCGGGCGGTTGGCGAAGGGGCCTTGCCACAGGAGTATACACTGGTAAAGTTGAAGGTGCAGAACGCAACAGAGCATCCTGCTT